TTCTCCTTTCTCTTTTCTCTTCCCACTGCACCTCTGCCTCCTAGCCTATTACTGCAGCCTGTTCCTTCCTTGGTTTCTAGCCTTTTGTTTGCACTTAATTATCAGAATTTTGAAAGTGGTGGTCTTTGTTGGTTATTTGTTCTGGTTCTCCATCTCCACTTACCAAAATTCAAACCCAAGGTTGTCAGGGCCCTCCCCAGCAGTGCTCCCGAGCTGCTGCTCTGTGTCTGCACAAACTGCTCCCTTTCCAGGCCCAGGTGGCCATGGGTTTGCACCTTGCACTCCTCTGCTCTTCCCAGGACTGCCCCACTTCCAGCATTTTCTCTTCTGCCACCAGCACGTTAGTCATTTGGAAATTACCATATGTCACTAACAACTCTCCTCTCATTCCTACCATTTCAGGTAGTTTTTTATCAAAATGTTACTGAATGCAAATTTTGTCCCAACTGCTGTGCTGGTGCTTTAGTGTTAAAACTAATTAAGATGGATGTGTCCACCTCAGGAGCTGATAGTCCCTGGGGGAATAATAAACATTAACACACAGGCAAACACAGCCCTGCAATGTGAGTTAAGGATGGAGAGAGAACAGCACATTGCTCTGAGTTAGAATGGTGGGCTAAGATGGGCCCCAGTTTAGATGGGGCCTAACCTAATTTCTGTGGGGAACAGAAGTAAGACAAACACTTTTAAAGAAGTAGCACTTCAGATGAGGCATGGAGAAAACAAGATAGCCAGATGCATTTGCTCCTTTCCCATTGCTGGGACACAGTACCTGGCACCCACAGCTTAAAGAAGTAAAGTTTCATTTTGACTCACAGTTTATAATGGGTTCAGTTCATGGTTACTGGCTTCAAGGCAGAAGTGGCAGAAGAGGAACAAGGCTGCTCACTCTATGGCAGCCATGAGGCAGAGAGAAAAAGAACAGAGTTGGGTACAAGAATACCCAGTGCTTCCAGGTCAAACCTCAGTGACCACCTCTTCCTACCAGGTCCCACCTCTGAAACATGAGACTTCTGGGGGACGGTTTTGATCTAAATCATAGCACAGCAAGTGGGGAAAGTCTCAGAGCAGAATACACGACATTTCAAAGGTTGTGAGAAGCTGGGACATGTTAGAAGAAAGCCAGGACTGAAAGCCCTGAGGTTGGTGATTACAGAACGGCGGCACGTCTTGAGGCCAGCGGGAGATCCCTCAGTGCAGGACCTGTGGGCTGTGTGTTGAGTGTGGCTCTGCACACAGTGGGAAGCAGTTGAAATGTTTTAAGCAGAAATGCGACACAAGCTCCATCTGTTCATCAGAGTCTGTGTCTTCGCCGGGCATATAGCCAGGTTGCATTTCCTGGCCCTCTTCGATCAGCTGTGAGCCATGGAATCGTGTCCTACTCGAGGGAAGTCAGAAAAGTGGTGAATATCCCTACTAGGGCTGGCGTATGAAAGTCTCCATGTTGGCTTTCACGTACTTCTCCCCTGCCACCTGGCAGAGTGGGAACCACCCATGCCAACATGGCAGCGATGGCCTGACACCTGCATTGCCTATGGAGCAGAACCACTTCCCAGCAACATAGAGCCATCCTGAGACTTGATGCGAACAAAAAAGAAGCATCTTCTGTTTTGAGGCTCAGCCTATTCAGTCCATTCAGTACCACGTCTGTCTACTTTGTTTAGATTAGCGTGACCAATTGAAAGGGCAGTGTTGGTTGCTGTACTACCAGAGCATTGAAACAGCATGAGCAAGAACAGTGCAGGAAAGGTGTGTTGTGTTGTGTTCTGGGGAGGATGAAGTTGACATAGATGTCAGATAATTTTGAATGAAAAATCATGGACTCCTGTTGATATTTCATTGTGTGAAACTATGAAAGAAAAAAAATATTCTGCCATATTTCAACTTCCATATCACTTACTTTCCAGACTTTCCACAGCATGCCTCATTGAACACCTGTACGTATATACTTTTTTTTTTCTCATTGAATTTATTGGTACATTTTAGGTATACAGTACAGTTACATTCATCATTGTGATCTTGTACTTTTACATGACAGGTCTTGATTCTCATTTTTTCCCCATAACCCGGCCCTCCCTTGACCCCCTCCTCCCTTCCCTATTTACAAAAACTTTATTTCCATTTTTCATTTTCTCATGTTTTCTTTTTCTTTTCCCTTTTTACCTTTCCCCTACCCTTCCCACTTCCCTAACCTTTAGCCCTTTTCTTCCTATTTCACATTGTCAGTTGTATCATTACGATCTTACCTACTATTATAGTTTTTCACACCAGAGAAACTATTCAGTATTTATACATGTATGACTTATTTATTTCATTTAGGAGTATATCTTCAATATGTATCCATTTTCCTATGAATGAATCTAATTTCTCATTCTTTATGGCTGAAGTAGTATTCTATTTTATAGAAAAGGCACATCTTCTTTATCCAGTCTCCAACTGATGGGCAAATGGGCTGTTTCCAAATTTTAGCTATTACAAACTATGCCTCTATAAACATAGGTGCGCATATATCACTATGATATGATTCTTTCAATTATTTTAGAAAGATACCCAGCAGAGGGATGACTAGGTCAAATGGAACCTCTAATCCCAGCTCTTTGAGATATGTCCATATTGATTTCCATAGTGGTTGCACCATTCTGCACTCCCACCAACAATAGAGATGGGTTCCTTTCTCCCCACAACCCTGCCAACATTTGCTATCATTTGATTTCATGATAGCAGCCATTCTTTTTGGGGTGAGGTGGAATCTCACAGTGTTCTTTTCATCTGCATCTCTCGAACGACCAGTGGTATGGAACATTTTTTCATATATTTACTTGCTGCTTTTACTTCTTTGTCTGAGAAATGTCTGTTCATTTCAGATGCCCATTTTTGAATCAGGTCATTATATTTTTGGGTGCTGACTTTTTTTAGTTCTTTATATATTCTAGATAATAGTCCTTTGTCTGAGGAGCAGCTGGTAAAATATTTTTCCCACATTGTGAGTTGTCTTTTAGTTCTGAGGATGGTTTCTTTTGCAGTGCAGAAGCTTTTTAATAAGATGAGATACCAGTTGTTGATTCTTTGTGGTACTTCCCATGCCACTGAGGATTTGTTCATAAAATTTTTTCTTATGTCTGTGTCTTCAAGAGTTCTGCCTAACTTATCTTACAGCAAATTAAGTGACTCTTTTTTAATATTTAGATCTTTAATCCACTTCGATTTTAGTTTAGTGCATGGTGAAAGATAAGGGTTTAGTTTTAATCTTTGGAAGGTTGAAATCCAGTTTTTCCAACACCATTTATTAAAGAAGCCATCTTGCCTCAATCTCGGTAGACTGGGTAAACTGAAGGGCAGATGAGGGGAAAACTCCACTTACTGGAGTGTGCATATTAAGATCTGTATTCATATTGATGCTACTAACTCTGTGCCACTTAACTTCTGTTACATGAAAGCCGGAGGTTCATTGCGGAGGTTAAGGATCAAGTGTGGTGAACATGTGGCTGTGGTACTTTTCCTGTAACTGTGGCCCCTGGTTCAAGGCCTGTTTGTATGTGCCCAGCATCACACAGGTTGGAGAGTGGCAGGTGGCAATGTTGGAGCTTCCAAAATTCTCAGAGATTCACACAAGGGAAGCAGAGTGTAAAAGTGAGAATGCAAAACGGGGAACAGATATGAGTGTGCTGGAAAAGGTACAGCCAGAGGCTTTTCTGCTCTTTGTGTCCCATCTTTCATTTCTTTGTTGGTGATATCACACCGAGTGACATTAGATCAGTAGTTAGAACAGGGAGAGAGACTTCTCTGCCCTGTGTTCCGTGAGAACCAATGACTGCATTGTGAAAATAAGGTGGAAGTTACAGACCTCAGAAGACAATTACTATTTACTTCACCATCTCTCATATATTTCCAAAATAAATGCAATTTACACACTAGCATGTGATTTCCTTAGCTTAGCTTTCAAGGTGTGTTGGTTTTAAGAGTAATGCTGTATGTTAGTGTATGGCCTGTAGTGTGGAGATGTGAGTTGCACCTGTTTGAGTGTACCGCAGAGTTGATATTTAAGGAAGAACACATTTTAGACAAAGCCATTATTTTCTTTCAGCTATAATACTGCATATAGTTCTGGAATTTTCTGAATAATCAAAGGATAAAGTAGAGTTAGAAACTGACAACCATAGATGGAAGGGACGGAAAATCAGGATGAGCTTTTAAATGTGAACAGATGCAACTTGAGAAAAAAATATGTATTTAGTCATAAAGTTATATTAAGATAGGAAAAATATGTGTGAGTTCTTCAAATTGACAAATATCTGGAAGTGTGAGGTTTCCACAGAAACTTAAAAATTATTTAAAGACAGAAATACCTAGAGTGCAGCAGGGAACACATTATTCTCATACCATATGGTAGCGGATGGAGATGTAAATGATTCAGAAATGCTTAAGGAACAGGAACAGTGGCTTAGCAATGGCTTATAGTGGTAAATCGGAGATGGTTTTTTGTTTGGTTTGGTTTGGTTTGGTTTTTGAGACAGGGTCTCGCTATGTAGGTGAGACTGACCTGGAACTCACTATGTAGCCCAGGCTGGTTGTGAACTCACAGTGATCCTCCTGTCTCAGCCTTCTGAGTGCTGGGATTACAGGCGTGCACCACCATGCCCGGCTACAGGGATGGTTTTTAAATTTATGTGTTCCATAAGATTTCTTTTGAAGATACAGTGTGAAGTACAATATATAAGTAAACTTCCTTTGCATTCTGATGAAATATATACATTGTATGATTTTATTATTACCCAATGTAAACTTTGTATTCTACCTTAAAATGAACTGTTTTTGTTTTGTCATGTATGAATTTCTGCATTATCTGAGTTACTGATACTTAATAATACTATTTTAAATTTATACTCAATGTGGGGAAAAAGTTTTCACAAATTATATTCTTGCCATTTGAAAAGGTGTACTACTGGTGAGCTGAAGATGACATTTATTTCTTAAATTAACACACTTTATGCTCCTCCTAGGCTGGAATGATAAAAAGTGATACTGAAGAGTATTTTATTGAACCCTTGGAAAGAGGTAAGCAGATGGAGGAAGAAAGAGGAAGGATTCACATTGTCTACAAGAGATCAGCCGTAGAGCAAGCACCAATGGACATGTCCAGAGATGTCCACTTCCACGGTAGGCACCTGTGAGAGGCTTAGTAACTAGACAGGGGAGGGAGGTATGTTGGAAACAGCCCTCCTGTGAGGCAAGAAGCTGTGTTGTCATGTTCTCATCCATAATGAGAAAGTAGCCGAAGACGTTTATATTTATAAATCATGAAATAGGCCTTTTCTTTTAAAAAATGCATAGAAAAGTGTGTCTAAGTATTATTTTATTCTGGGGCATTATTATATCCCCTATATATTTCTTAAGAATTCTTTTAAAATTTTACATTAAAATGTTTTTCTAGCTTATGTTAAAATTGAAAAATATTTATGATCTACAAAGATATTGGAATTGTGGATTATTAGTGTTATTTTAAATGTTTTAAATGAGATATATTGGTATGGCAAAGAATTGTGTTTTAAGATTAGGGTGATAGATACATTTGAAAATAAATTATGTTACTTGACTTTGAGGTCTGTTTTGTGAATGTTTTTCCTATTTGAAGGAGACATAAGTCCAGCTTTACTTAGAATTTTGTAAACGAGAACCATTGAAGTCGAGGAAATTATGGCACAGAAAAACTTTCTATTTTTGTTTTAGTGAAATCTGAAAATAGGTTTATATTAATGATATATTCCAGGGCTGGGATTTGGCTCAGTGGTTCCACCTCCTGCCTCACAAGTGAAGGACCCGAGTTTGATCCCAGTTACCAAACAAACAAAAAACAAAAAACAAATGACATATTCTAAGTTTGATGCAGAAGTTTTTATTGAGAAGAAAGGAAATTTTGAAATTTTAATTTTTTACCAGATATCTACAGTCTATATTACTTTCACTAGCCTAGCTCTGTGGTTTAAGGGAACTTCTCTGAAGAAAACTTGAGGGATACAAAGACCCTTAAGTTAGCAGTGATTTGTCTTCTAGATGGCTCTGTGTGAGTTGTTGCCTGTGTACTGGCTTTTAGATCCCGCTGGTTCCCTTCCCCTGCTGCACTGGTGGAAGAGTATACTTGGATATACACTCAGCATTAACATTGCCTGAGCAGTTCTGAATGATTTCCCACTTAAGATAACATGTTGATAGAGGTAGTTTATGAACTGTATGCCCGACTCTGAGCTGCTGTGGTGTAGTGAAGGTGACGTGAGCATCACAGTTCACACGATCAATTTGCTCTGTGAGGAGCTCGTGCCAGGACTTGATCTCTCTGAGTCCCAGCAACTCCATCCATGAATAGAATCCAAAGTACATTGCACCAGAAAAAAAAAGTGTGCAAAATGCTGAGTATAGCCTTAAACAAAAGCAGGTGCTTAATCGGTGCTTGATTTTTTTATGAATGAGTAATACAAGTATCTTGTGCACAAACATTTATGCTAGCGGTTCTGTTGAAGTTGAACTTTTACATGTTGATTACCTTTATATTGTGAATACAACACTCTTAATTTTTTCTTATATTTTCATGTTTTAGCAGTGTAATTCTAAATCAGAAAACTAGTTATGTTAAGGTTGTTCATTTTTTCTCTAAGTCTTGTTGTTGAACATTAGGAATATCAGTGTCTTTCTGAGGCATTAATTAAATATCATTTAGAAAAGCATAATCCATTTGGCATCACATTGTGTACAGAACTAGAATCAGATTAGTCAGAAGCTTCCTTATTGCTCACTCTTGGTCATCACCGTAGCTCCAGCAGGCTGCACTGTACCGCTCCATTTTGGTCCCTGAATGAATGTTTCTATAAATAGTGTCCTTGTACTATTACAGGAAGGCGAAATTACTTTTTCTTGAAGAAGAAAATGGCAAGAAACATTTTAGTACCTTTTATAGTTTTAGATGAATAGGGAAAACAATTCAGTAGTCAAGGTATATAAATTTTTAAAAGTTGCATGGAGTTTAAAAAATTTGGAACATTATTGTAGGAAATTATTCAAAATATCAGTTTCAGTTACATAAATGTACTCCATTCACAGTCGGTATTATTTTCTTATTTTGAAGTTTTGATTGAATTGAGTAGCTGGTAATATCAACTTACCTTTTTTTTGAGAATCTGAAATTGGAACTAGTTATGTTATAATGTAACTTTCTTCCCTCTAGCATAAAAAGAGATTCATATTAAAGAATTTAAGTATAAATTCTTAATGTATTATGTTATTATAACATGTAAAATTCAACAGGATTAAGGTACTTTCCTGGGATTAGGAAGATATACTGATTTATGTATGAAAACTAAAGCACTGTATTAAATCATGTTTTATCTGGTATGCTTATTCTAGGAGACATATGACTTCTTTCTTCAATGAATCAGGTTAAAAGAAATAAAATATATGAACTGAGATTTACCTAAGAAGAAATATATTTAAGGGTCATGTCTTTATATATCTTTGTAATTTTTTACTGAGAGCAAGTTATCAGGAGGAATACTGATCATTATTAAGCCACGTCTTATCTCACAGGTTTTCCTCAGGGCAGCACCTGTAAATATTCTGTCACATCTTTGTAGTTGTCACAGTGGTGGTGGTCATTGCCCAGATGCTTTTCTTGCTGTAGCCCTTTAAGCACTCAAAATGCTATACATTCTGCAGGTCTGTAGGACCCTGAACTAGATGCTTATCACAATAGTAAGATGGAGCATTGGAGCTGAACAGAATAGAGATGGAGTGAAACTGATGGGGTTTACAATGGAGTAGATTTTGGGAATAGCGAAGAGAGCAGAGAAAAGAGGAAAGGAGAGGAAAGGGGGAAATGAAGGTGACTCAGAATTCTAATTTGGAAGACTAGAGAATTCTCTTTCCGGAATTAGGTTTTATAAAACAAGCAACAGAAATAAACTTATTGGAAGATGACACGTGGGTATGATCTCTGGTGTTTCATAGTCATGTCTTGTGGATGGTGTATGAGTGGTCTTCACACAACACAGCAGGAATGGTCTGAGATCAGCTCAGGAGTCCAGTGGTAGGTGTTGGCTGTGGGTGCTTGGCGGCCTCTGCTTTGCCTTCTGCCTTCTTGTTTTCATCTGCATCACTGAAGATATGAAGGTGTGCATTGTACAAAGTTGGGAGCCCATGAAGAGTCTGCTACCTGCCATTATAGGTAAAGAATTATGTTCTTAAAAGATAAAAATAAAATTTAGAAACATGACAAAAACTTGCGTCTCCCACACCCAAGAGCTCTAAACTTTCCACTTGACCAGACACAAACAGGCATCTTTATTCCTGTCATTATGTCTGTTCCATCATCTAAGAGTTTTCATCTGAGTTTCTAAAAAAAGATCACAGCTTTTGCATTTGTGTGATACATGGCATGGCGTGATTCAACAGCAAGAGAAAAGCCCTCAACCAATTCACTGTATAGCATAGATCCTCATTCTTTTATTCTTAAAAGGGGAGAAATGTGGAAAGCCTTGAAGCGCTGTTTAGAAATATGCTGGGATAACTAGTAAAGTCACAGTTGGTGTTGCGGTCAGCAGAGCTTGCAGATGGTAGTACCCTTCTGGTTAGACAGTCAACATGATCTCAGCATGCTGATGATAAAGAAACTATCTACTTCAGTATGGTGAGAGTTATTAATTTGCTTGTTGCATTAATTTCTGCCCAAGAGGTATGGAAATTACATCCATTTTAGGCATCTTTAGTTGAGGCAAAATTGTTTTCTATTTGACTCACTCAGTATTTGAATTTTTAATTGGTAACAACGTGCACTTTAAAGTACATTTCTACTGATAAATCAATCATTTGTCTAAACTCAGATCAAAACCAAAATATGCCTCTGAGCACCTCTTACACTGTCATCATTAAGAAGTTTGCTTTCGGCAGTCTACCTTTAGAGACGATAGGGTTGTACTTTTCTGAGCAGCTTTTCATATTTTTTTTATTGAGTCCCTAGGCCCTTAGCCTTCTCTCTTTAATTTGCAAACTATTCATTGACCAGGAGCTTGGTGTTGAAGTAATTTTTGTAATTACTTCCTCACAGTGGGGAACAAGGAATAGTAGGCCTTTATCTCCTGGCTTCCTTTCAGGATTTTCATTTTCCTGCAGGATCCCAAATGCTTGTGTTGCTGGTGAAGTTGTCATGGTGCCGTGATGTCTTTGTCCCAGGTGGGAGACATGGAGAAGACAGAAATGATTTAGGAGTTGCTCCTGGTTGCTGGGGAATCAGAGTATGAAACAACTAGAAAAACGGAAAGTCTGTTTTATTTTAGTGATAATAGGAAATTCCTAGTGGGGAGTCCTTCCTCATATCTGCAGACATATAGGTGCTCAAACCTTTTGACTTGGGAAGTTCTCCTGGCTTGTATGGCCTGATCAAAGAAAATCATTCATGGGCTCTGTAATTTCCCCAACCAAACAATAGAAATTAATTTTAGCCATTATTTCTTAGTGATGTATGGAATGTATTGTTACTAAATATTAATTTGTTAGCATGATCAAATAGCAACCATTGTTTTAGGCAAGTGTGAACTTAGGAATAGTTCACAGCTGCACCATTTTGTTCACAGGCTAAGGTAAGGATCAGTGAGGCTACATCTGTTGGATTGATAGGGAAATATCAATCACACGTATGGAATTTTTTTCAGGTTTAGTAGATATTACAATTTGGGTTTTTATAACAATTTTTTACAAAAATGCAAGCAGTATGGAGATTTAATTATGACACAAAATAATCAGGAAATAGCATGAGTTAAAGGGTTAGCTGATGTGAAATAAAGTTAATACCATTTTATTTTCTAAATAAAACATTGAGGATAAAACTACACATGCTGCTTTGAGACTTCAGAGCTCAGGATTACTATTTAGTTATCCGTTTGGCACTAGCAGAGAGCGAGAGTCAGAATGTCACAGAATGAAGAGAAAGGGATAACAGGGAGTACATATTAGGGTAAAAAGCTGACTTGAGCAACTTCAACAAGCTATTGATCCACTAATAAAATGACTGCAGACTCAGAAGCAGCTATATAAATTATCGATTTATGAGGGAACAGTTAATACTGTGAAAATTTGTTACCATTTAAAATATATTTGCTCTTTTGGGCTATAAA